GCCCTCTACCTGGAGAGCCCTCCTCCCCTAGATCCAGCCGGCCGCGTCCCTTCTCCCCTAGATCCAGGAGGACAACACAGGCGGCAGAGGTGGACACACGCTCATCGGGGGCTTTCTCGGTGGCGGACCTGCAGGGGGTGACACCCGGCGTCCATGATCGTCTTGGGGCCTCTCGTGGCGGTGGCGGGCGGGCTCATGGCCTGCACGTGTGGCGTGTAACAGGGAAAACGACGGAGGTTGGCGGGCTCACCGAGGGGCTTTTTTTATTTTTTATGTATTTTTGCAAAGAGCCACTAGGCCGCTTGCGTAAATGGTTATTAACACCGGCATTGATTTATAGTTGGAGGCTTTGCCCACCTTGGTTAATGGTTTTTGGCCGCCTGTCAAAATGTATTGAGTAGTAGAGGTAATGACGGAACAAAGAAAGAAAGCATCTAACGTACTCCCTCGATCCTAGAGTCTTGGGTATAGAAGCATTCAAAAGTTTGAACCAAATACAAGATATTTTGGGGAACAGAAGGACAATTTTAGTAGGTTTGTATTGTTAAATGTCATTTATCAAGCAATCCCATCCCCTTTAATTATTCTTGTGGATGATAGCGATTATACATGCATGGATTAATTTAATATAAATAGATTAAAAAGGTGAGGGGCATGTGTACGTCTTTTGCACTCTCTCTTAATTTGTCTCAAAACACTAGTATATGTTCAAGGGAGTAAATAAATAATTCCTCCATTCCAAATGGTAAGTCATTTTGGCTTTTCTAGATACATAACTTTTGTTATACACCTACTAGATATACACTATGTCTAGATACATAATAAAAACTTTTTCTCAAATACGCAAAAAGATTTGCGTATCATTGTATTAAGTAGAAGAGTTTAAACGATAACACGCTTCTATCGAGCGCCGAAGGAGATCGACCTAAAATAGCCGTAGCAGGACTATCCTACCAAAAGACCTCCAGTTTCGATATTACATAAATGGAAAACAACCAAAACCAACACAGCGGTGCGACCTAGGAGGTGGCCTTGCGCCAAACTTTCTTTTTTGCGAAACAATAATTAGCTACATTTTGGAATGGAAGGAGTAATGTACTATGTTAGACAAATAATTAGCTACATGGTTCTATATTTATCCATGAATTTCGTTCTAATAACACTTGTCCATTTTGTACTCGCATGCGGAAGAGCACTTGTTAATGGACTAGGGTAACAATGTAAGTAATACGGAAGTTATTCGGACCAGCCAAGGAAGACAATTCGTTTCGAATTTGGCTGCTGAGTAGTCAGACAGAGAGAATCCTTCTAGACACGTACAGCGAGTCCCCAACAATTCATTGTGGCATTTTGCACCCACATCAACCCCTTCACATGAGCCAGAGAACAGAAAAGCCACTGCTCTCTCTCTCTCACACACACACACACACACACAAAAATCGGTAGTTCAATCTCTCCACTCACCTTGACATCTCTGTATTTACAAAGTTGTTGATGTAGGCTGTACCCTGCTGATTTGCTACTCCTATATATCGTCCAATCCTATCTGACCTCTCGATCTGCTCCTTGATTAGTTGTCCTCGCTTGGTGCCTGTGTATATCATCGCCCCGCTTGCTTCCTCTAGTTCTCGTTCTTATCCATCAGCTGTTTGCACAACCTAAGGCGAGCCGAAGGAATGTCGGCCCAGCAGATCGCGCCGGTGCCGGAGCATGTGTGCTACGTGCACTGCAACTTCTGCAACACAATTCTCGCGGTAAACCCCATCTGATCTCTCTGTTTGCCCCATCGTTCTCTCCCTCTTTCAATTTCCCAGTTCTTCGCTAGCCTTTGCCTCTGAAGTGCAGATCTACAAGGAGTAGATGCATTAAATGATTGGCTGCTGCGTACATGCATGCATCATCGTATAGTTAATTTTGTAGGATTTGGCTGTTCCTCTTGCTGGATTTCATCTTTTGCTAGCTCTAAATTGTTTTGTAAAGGTTGAACGGAATTTCTGAATCACCCCCGTCATGTTGTCCTTCAATCTTTATTTTTGGCCAGAGTCCATTGAATTTTCTTCCTTCCCTTTTCAACTCTCGGTTTCAGTTTTTTGAATGGAAGCTGCTAGCTGGTCTCTTGTGCCTTTCGAATTTGACTAGTTCTCTTCACCATGGACATGAGGGGAGAAGGTCAAGGTCAACGGACATTGAAAATTGGATGCTTCTTGCACCTTTTCCTCTGATCAAATCTTGAGAACAACATGATTAATAGCTGTCTTAGACGTAACTAGTGAACAACAGGGTGCTAGCTCCACCTTTCGTATGGTTCGGCAATTCCATACATAATCGCAAGTTTTCAAGCATTCTCGCCTTCTGTACTTTTTCTGAGAAACTATCATCCTTGCTGAGTGGTGGTCTAAGTATAGCAAATGATAGAGTTGTTTGCCTGGTGTATGTGATGTACATATATAGCTTCTCGAGCACCGGTTCGTCTTGCATATAGTCCGGTGGTTTAGTTTCAGCTACTACTCAAAACACAATATATAGAGCATTAGATTTTAGGCATTTCCTACTTGAACTGCAACAAAGAGAGCATGCAATAATAACAATTAAGTCAATAAAAATTTTAGTGTGTAACGAGGATATGTAACTGTTTATGTTTTATTTTATATATAGACCATTCCTTACCCTCCTCCACTTCCTCCTCACATAAAGCTAAGTCGTCGTGTATAATATACTAATAACATATATTGGTCAATATCTGTCATAGCTTCCTCAAAAAAATATCTGTCGTAGCGTTTGCAACATTTTATTCATGGAACAAAAAATTCAATTAGGGAAGTTTGAACATGATTTACTGGAAAGAGTGCTCTAAAGATCAAAACTATTAACTGGAACAATAGATGAAGAACGTAACAATACAGAAGCAGTATATACTGCAGGTGACTTCATCCTGATGCAAAACCGAAATCATTACTTCCTGTTTTTATTCTGCTTATTTTGCTTTCATGGTCCTGTGATTTTTTTACAATTTTTTCTGGATTTTCTAGTTGGTTTATTAGTTCCTGCTTATGATATATATTATATTCCAGAAACCTTATTGACACTGAATACAAGAAAAAAAACTCCACTCTGCTAAAACATTCACGTGTTTTCAAAAGAACTAAGGAGGTGTTCTAGCAAATTGTATAGAATTTATGCTAGTTTAGCTTCAGTTTCCTTATTTTTTGTACTTTTATTCTCTTGTGAGTTAGTGTACACAGTTCTTTCCATAGTCAGCCTTTCTTCATGGAATCATGGATGGTCATAACCATTTCAATGTAAACATTGCCTATAAGTTTACTACTGTTAAAAAATCACCAGATTCCATCTAGCCTATTCATTACAGCCAAGTTCTTCTTTCTAACTTATTCATTCAAAGTTCTTGCTGCAGTTACAGGAAATCCATACATCGACGATTACAGATTTTTCTTGCTGTACTATTTATATTTTTGTCTCTAGCATATTATGAAGTATATAGTCAAGTAGGATCTAGGTGGGCATGAATGCTGAGATTTTTTTTTTGCATGAAATGGCTAATCATATCTTTCACACGTTATGTTCCGTTCTCTACACTTCAACGTAACTTGAATGCCGTTTTGCTTTCTCCAACGTAAATACTCCTTACCAAAGATCTATAATATAATAATGGTAGAGATCCTACATGTCTGGCCATTCAATCAATCACAAATGTGTAATGCTAGTATTGTCAGTATGTACTATGAGTCTGATTAATTACAGGCTATTCGCTTGTTGGTTTCAGCCAGCCCAAACCAGCTAACTAACAGTGTTTTTCTCTCACAAAAAACCAGCACCAACCAGCCTAAACCAGCACCAGCACCAATCAGCGAACAAGCCCTTAGTTACTTACATGAGCCTTAGACTGCATTAGAATTGACCATGCAGCATAACCCAAGCCCACGTACCAAATTTTTTCTGCACAGGCATGCCGGTTTTAATGAAATTTTGTTTGGTTGTTTGCATTTCGCTACATGTATGCACCTCCATTTCTAGTTGAGATATCATGTTTATAGTAGAGATAGGTGGGATGATAAGAATATTTTATTTTTGTGTGCATGTCGGCTTGTGCAAACTTGCATTAACAATATGGCGTACTAGTTAACATAGCATTTGGCCTGCTTTGAGCACTGTGCAATTCTACGTAAGAGCCTAGGCAAGCAACCAAACATAATCAAACTACAACGCACAAGCCTAGATACAAGATAAATACGGAGAACCAATCCAATCAGACCCTGTAAGTAAGAGCGAGATCATATCTTTGGCAAGAGATCTTGCCTTCGCTGAAATCTGAAGAAGTGGCAGTACTTTTCTGCAACTCCAATGCCGTCTCCCTCTCTCTCCTAGACAAACATAAAAAGGAGGTTGCTCGATCTTGTTGGCATCCCCTGCATGACCCCACTAATATATGCATATATTGCATGCCCGTGGTGCCAAAGTGGCTTCTGCATGAATTGTCACTATCTCTTGCATCTTTCTGATCTCCAAACTCTGTCCAAATATATTCTCTCAGCCCGTGTTTAGTTGGCCGAATTTTGGAATTTGGACTACGTAACACTTTCGTTTTTATTTGGCAATTAGTGTTCAATCATGGACTAATTAGGCTCAAAACGTTCGTCTCGCGATTTTCAACAAAACTGTGCAATTAGTTTTTTTTTTCGTCTACATTTAATGCTCCATGCACGTATCAAAAGATTCGATGTAATGGCTACTGTAACACTTTTTGAGAATTTGGGTTTGGAACTAAACGCGGCCTCAGTGTTTTGTGTGTATGTATATCAGAAACGATCGAGCATGCATGGAGCAGAAAATATATATTTATATATATAGCTGCACGCTAATGCATGGATGATGAGTTCTCTAGATCACACGTCACATCACACACAATGTATAGGCACCACAAGACACTCCCCTCATGTGTGTGCAAGATATGAAGTGTGACAGATTTAACTCATCCTCCCCTCATGGAGCACGTACACACAATCATTTGTAGGGCATATATACGCTCACTTGTTTACTATTCTAGCTTAAGGCCATATGGGAGTTTGTGCGCACAAAAAAAAGGTCAGCGTGAGGAATCAAACAAAGCAGTAGGCCCTTGCATTATTGTTTCTTCAGTTTGGGTGGCAGTAGAGTACTAGTGTGCACCAACAGTTTGTGTGGAAATAATGAAAACAAAATGGAAAGGGAAAGGGAATGAACACAGTGCTGTAGTACGTTGGAAAAGAGTGCCCCAGTTGTGGTCTGTACAGGCTCAGGCACTCAGCAGCAGAGCCCTGATAAAAGTCATAGAGCAACAGTTTCGCAGGCAGCAGCCAGGCAGCGGTAACAGAAAAAGTAAAAGAGAGAAGGCGTTCCAGCACGATGCTTTGTGCATATATCATATACAAGCATCTTATGAAAAGGGAAAAGCAACAGTTACACATAGCTTTATTTGTGCATCATATACATCTGCAGAAGGCGTTCGAGCATGCCTTGATTTTACTCCTCGTTCTTCTGAAAGTATATATACTGAAATTTCTCCATTCAAATTTACTAGTAATATATATGAGTGGCAGTCTTTTTATTAGTTTTGTACAATAATGATGTTCTTTCTTCGAAAGCACTTGCTATCCTTCGCCCATCTTACCGATTTGCTTCTCGTGCATCGCTCAATCTGCAGGTCAGTGTCCCGAGTCACAGCATGCTGAACATCGTGACAGTCCGTTGTGGGCACTGCACTAGCCTGCTGTCGGTGAACTTGAGAGGACTCATCCAATCACTCCCTGTCCAGAATCACTACTCACAGGTTGAAATGAATAGCAACATTATACTAATTCGTGCAATGCATGATCTGTGCATGAAATATCAAGACTACTCTATAATAGACTTCTCTTCTAAGAGCAGCTAATATAAACCCTTTTGCCATTGCTTCAAAATTGTAATCATTCATATCAGTATATATCTGCAAAGTTCAAAAAGAAACGTTACTCCTAACCTGTGTGAGTACTGTGCTAGCTTGTTCTGCATTTTTACTGTTACCGTCTACGGCTAGACAGGCCAGATATTTAGACGGTTCTTAAAGGACAGCATATGTACGCAGAGATGCCGAAGATCTAGAGGTTGCCCTACCTACATATAGCTAGCTAGCTGGTAGCAGATAAAAGCCGGTGTCAATGTGTGCATGCATGGGTCATGTCATGTTTCAATACTTTATACAGTAGAGACAAGCTAAAGCATTTGATCAGTACTGCTTTCTCAGTACATGAAAGAGTTTAAAGCTTGCACATGCTTTGGAACCAGATAAGTACATCTATCAGTCCTTACCATGAAACTTGGTGGGTCGATTATCAAAGTCTGCATACAACATATCAATAGCTCTGGAAATATAATGCAAGTACACTATGCACAGTTTTCACTTGAAAAAGGAGTATCACATTGATAACATGATTTTGTTTCAATTGGCGGCAGGAGAATTTCAAGGTCCAAAATATCAGCTTTACTGAAAACTACCCTGAGTATGCACCTTCGTCTTCCAAATACCGCATGCCAACGATGTTGTCAGCGAAAGGTGATCTGGATCATATGCTGCACGTGCGTGGTAAGATTGATTCAGATATGTGTATGCTATTGCCCTCTTTTTGTATGTAGAACCGGTTATTTTTTTGCTACCTAAATAAACAGTTCTGAACATTGGTTTCCTCTATAGATATTATTTTTAATGAGTAAATAAATTATATGCACATGCGATGAGTGGATGCAAGTTTTATAGGAAACCTTTTTTACCATATATAAACACATGCATGAAGAATCCAAAAAGAACCAAGAGCCCGTATTGAGTACACTAAATTAAACATTACTTATAAAATTTCAAACTTAAGCACAATGTGATTTTTTTGAGAGAAATAATGATGTGGATACAAAAACTAAGAGTTTTTCTTTTTAGTATTATATTTTGCTTTAAATTATTTCTTGCAAATTCATCCTTTATTAGTATCCCAACATAAATAGAGCCTACATCAAGTTTTAGATGATGATCAAATGGGGGGAAAGTTATAGTTGACCAGCAGTAATTATACAACCAATACAAAATTAGTTATTATGTGGAAAGTTTGTATCCTACTGGCATGGCATCACATAAGAACTCAGATTATGTGCACGATATTAAGTTAACAAAAGAATGAACTCATATGAGTGTATCACTTTTACATCTTGTTTTTGACGAAAAGCAGAGGTAAAAGGTCAGATATATCATCATCACCTCGAAGTTCATTGTGCACTGTGTGGTCATGCTTATTTATTTTGTGCTTTGTTTTGACTCTTAATATTGAAATCACAAGTTAAAATGTGAAAATGCACTGCAAAAGTGAATTATTGTCCTTGCGAGTAAAACTAATACCTTCAAGTTTAGTAACCATATTATGAAGTGTTGTTAAAAAACATTTGGTTTCAAAAAGTGAATAAACCAAACATAGACGAATGTGTGCTTATAATTTTCTCTGAAAAATAATACTAACTGATAAATATTCCAAATTCATATATCTATACCTCATGCTAGTTCTTCTATTTCTAGAACCACAATTTAATATAACACCAAAAGGTTTTCCCTAATGTTTAAGTTTTCCCTTGGTTGGTGTGAGGTGTTCATGAAGAGATTTCATGTGGTCTGTAAAGCACACTTCACAATTGTATTAACTATTATTTAACTATATTAGAGTGTTTTTTTTAACAAAGAGTGTGTTGTAAAATATGTATATGTGGTTTGTGTATGTCTTAATAACTTCATGTGTCTGATATTTGCAATAAACAACAGCTCCGGAGAAGAGGCAACGTGTTCCTTCAGCATATAACAGATTTATTAAGTGAGTTGGACTGATCTAATTTCATTTCTATTATATACTCCCTCCGATTTAAATTGTAGGCCATTTTAGTTTTGTTCTAAGTCAAACTTATCTAACTTTGACCAAGTTTATAGAAAAATATATTACATAGCAAATAAATGCACTATCAAAATATATTCCGTAGTGTATCTAATGATTTTTTGGTACTGTAGATGCTTATGCGGTTTTCCATAAACTTGGTCACAGTTAAAGAACCTTTGAGTTAGGACAAACTAAAACAACTTATACTTTGGAACGAAGGGTGTATATGTTGTAGTTTGGTTTATTTCTAAGTACAAACAATTTAGTTTTATATAAACTAGTATTGAAATGGTGCATGCATTGTCTTAGGGAAGAGATACGAAGGATTAAAGCAAGCAACCCGGACATAAGCCATAGGGAAGCCTTCAGCACTGCAGCAAAGAATGTAAGTACATGGTTTGCATAGCACAAGTGTCATGTATCTCAAGATATACGGTGTGCATGTAAGGATAATTATCCCATGAAAATGAATTAGATGGGAAAATGCATGGAAATCGACATTGGACTTTATTAATAAAGGTGTCTTAAAAATCAATCTCGTTTATCTCAAGATTTTAAAAAAAATGGTGAACAATGATTTTCTTGATTATCACAAAGTACTTATCAAATGTTTATTTGGTGATTAATTGTTCTCCTATAACTACTTGATGGTCCATACCATATGCTTTCCTGAATTATATTAACTCTGTATCATAAACATATTGTGAAAGCTGGATACCACAATTTTCTTAATAAGAACACATTTAGTTATCCAACAAAATTTATTCATATCATCATTTTTGCATGAATTTTCTTTCTTCAAAGAATTAGTTAAGGTAAATAAGAGCATATATGAATTCCTTAGAACATTGTATAGAGTGCCTCCAAAGCAACTTAATCCATATTAATTGTATTTTCATTTCAGTGGGCACATTTTCCAAACATTCATTTTGGACTAGGGCCCTATGAAAGTAGCAACAAGCTTGATGAGGCCATCGGTGCAACGGGCCATCCCCAGAAAGTCCAAGATCTCTACTAAGACCTATATCCACATCGTCCTTTGTTTTCCTATTGTAAGTAATTTGAGATAAAATGTATCTTAGTTTCTGAACTAGTTTGTGAGTGGTGTGTATATATATATATATATATATATATATATATATATATATGAGTGATATGATCATGATGTAAGGAATTAAGACGTATATATATGTACGAGAAGAACATGCTCCTAGTATCACGAAAGACTAAATAAGCATCACTGCGCCATGTTATTATCTGTAATTATTGTTTGAAATAAATTGTCCTTTGTGTGATGTTTTTAGTGTTTATTTGTGCCCAACCTTTGAGGGTTCAATCATGGTAATGCAAAAGTATTACAGTTCCTCGTATCGGATAGTCCTAAACCCTATATGGGATGGATGAAAACCATGCAGGGTTTGGGGCAGTTTCATCCAAACCGGTTTGAACAAGGGGTTACAAAATCCTATGAGGATTATAAAATATTTTTTTTGTGTCTAGAGAATTATTAAATATTATCATATGTTGTTGTTGCCGCTATTGTTATGTATTCAGAGATTTTATACTACTAAATAAAAGACAAACATTGTTAGTTTCCAAACTGGCGTCATTATAGGATTTTGAAGCCCGCAGTGGACAAACAAGAGTGAGCCATTGATGCCTTGACATTCGCTGCTGGTCTATCGACAGTGATATGATATTGGTGTCTAAAAACAAAAGAAAAATTCCACCAACGAGGCTCCTCCGCTGTCACACCCGATTTTAGGGATAAAATGGGATACATAATCTTATGTGCGCCCAGAGATCAGTCACACACATAAGTCGATAAATTATAAATCGTATCATCACAAGTGTTTATTATATCACGAATAATAAGACAGAGTCTTCACATAAATGTAGCAGAAGTAATAAAGAAAAGATCTCTCGCGGAAGCTCCATATCACAGGGACGTCAACTGGTTGACCACAAGTCTAGTAATCCTCGGGAAAGTCATCATTACCATAGCCATCTGTTATTCATCCGAGATTTTTATCCAAATAATGAAAATAAACGAGCGTAAGTATATGTCGTACTCAACAAGTGTAACATGGGGTTCATGAGGCTCAAAAGGCTTGACATAGGTTTAATAGCATTCAGCTTTTAGTTATCATAATTTTAGCTTAGAACTAGCAACAAGTTGGTTCAATCCCAAAGTAAAACACATGATCAATGTAAACATAAATAATGAATAGCATAAACAGATAATTCTTAGTGGTCATCTATTCCATAAGGGTTTCAAGGCCGCTCGTGACCGTGAGCACGGTTGATATACCAGTTTTACATTCTGTAGAGGTTGTGCACTTTCACTGTGAGTCGTGATACCCATATGCCCGGGTTTATAACTCCCAAAACACTTCCAAGGTGAGCAGACATGGGTCACTATAAAGTCTTTTAAAGGTTCGTCTAACAAGTTATGGCCGCTAGCTTTTTATGCCCTGCGAATGTAGGGCTCTCCTTTCGACAGGCACAATGACACGTAGCCTATACACTGATGGACAGAGGCCGCACTATATCCAACCCGAAACACACCCCTCTTGCGCCATAAAGGTAACCTCTAACAAGCTATAAAAGGTCCTCATACTGGGCTAAAGCTAGAGCCATGTAGCCCTCACAGCTGTACTGTAAGTCCCGGATGATCACTTATAGATAAGTCCTTAGGGAGAGGAATCTGAAGCATTTAGAAAGTAGCTAAACACTCCAGCCCCCTGTTTCCAAGTTGCTAAAAAGTCATATTTTAATGTTTATTGTATATACCATTAGTCGTTATAAGATTATGGTTTAATTGAGCACTAGCAAAGCTACCCAATGCATATCCCATAGGTGACAAGGTATAAGTTTAATTCTAGAGAATCCCTATCAAGGTGACACATGCAACATGAATTAAATGTATTAAGTTGATAGGAAACAAGGATAATCCGATGCTATACTTGCCTTTTATAAAACGCTCCTGCTGATCCTGCTCATCAAAGTAGTACTCTTGGTCTCTCATAAATTGCTCACCGTCTATACACGATAATCACAGCAACATAGAAGCATCCAGAAGCAATCATGCATAGCAAACAAAAGCTATAGATTAGAATAGTACACCAACAGTATAAAATCAAGATGAAAAGTTTGCAAAACAAATCTACGTCTCACTACGAACACACAGACGCGAAGATCACAAAAATCGAGCTAAAACGAAGAAGTTATGAATTAAATAAGATTTCCTTTAGTAAAATAATAGATTAAATCTAACCTGGAATATTAAAAGTTGAAAGCATACTTAACAGTAGTATGAACATGTGATTATGGAATTACGAACCTAACACAAGTTGAACGGACCAAATCGGAGTTAAAACGAAGATTTCATGGCCTAAAGAAGGTAGTGACAATTCTGTAAATAGAGGAAACTTGATTTTTTGGATTTAAATTAATTAAAATCTGATTTTAAACCAAAATAAGGACTGCGGCCATAATTTGAAGAAAAGACAGGGGTTCTTTTGAAAGAAACCAGGGACGGCGGGTTAAGATCTAAATAATTGTAAGGGCCTTTTTGCAAATTTCGCAGTGAAGGGGTATCTTCTAATATGGGCCCTTGATGTCAGATTGGACCGCCCAAACAGATCTGGATGGAATGGGGGACGCCGGCGAGGTCGGCGGCGATCTCCACGGTGGCGCCATGGCCAAAGACAGGCGGCGCTAAGAGATTATAGTCCATAGACCAAGAAATGGCGACCCAAGAACACCAGAAGCTAGAGGAGAGCAAGGCGAACTCGTCTAGGTAGCTTACCCCGGCGTGAAGCAAATGAGAGCAGCGCGACGCTTGGTGAGGTGGGCGAAGATGGCGGCGGTGCTAGGGTTAGCGAGGCTCGGCGCGATGCGATGGCAGCTGCGGCTCCAAAGCTCGAGATAGGCGCGGCACAAGGCGGGCATCTAGTTTTTATGAGGCGGTTAGGCTTGGGCGGCACGACAAGGCGTGGCATAGAGGAGGCGGTCACGGCGACGCGGTGGAGTCCGGCCCGGACACGAGCGAGGAAGACGGCGCTGACATGTGGGGCCAAGCTGTCAGTGAAACAGAGGGAAAGGAGCACGGCGTCCGCACGCAGCTAGGCCGTGGGCGCGCTGCTAGGCCGGCGGGGAAGAAACAGGTCGCGTGGGCAAAGCAAAGGGAGCGGGCTGCGCTGACTGCAGAACTGGGCCGATGCCTGGCCAACGTGCCGGAAGCAAGTGGAGGAGAAAAATTCATTTTCCAATTTCTAAACTAATTTCCAAACGAATTTCAAATACAAATTCAAATTAATTTGAAATCTGATTTCAAACCACACAATACAAAAAATAATATGCAGCAGTATGAATGCATAGACATGTATGTGGACCTATATTTGGTTTTAATTATAACAAGTTATTATTTTTCTAAATTCAAATGCTCACCAGAAATGCATAATTAAATTATTTTCTTCTATTTTAAAACTATACAAATTTTAGGGTGTTACATCCGCCACCACTGGGGATGCTTCGTTGCTGGATCTAGTCGTGATTGTCTCACTGTGGATGTCGCCAAGGAAGCCCCGCACCTACCTCCATTGCCGAGAGATCTAGGAACCTTCATCGTGCGCAACAGAATTGTCCTGGCCCCATGCACCGCAATGGCCAAGGGGGCCTTGCACGCTGCAGGATCTGCCTATCCATCGTTACCAAGGGAGCCCCATGTCGGTCATGTGCATCGCGCCACTGTGATCCAAGCACCATTCGATCTGTGGTGGCTAGTTCATACATTGCGTCGGGCCCGTGTTCTCCTGTCGAGTTGGACCGCTGAGAGAGGGAGGGAGAGGGTGTGGCGACCGGTCTAGATTATGGATGAAAACGGATCAAATACGAACGGATATCACTCATATTATATTTGTTTTTATATTTTTGTTCGGATTCGGATTCGGACACGGATAACGTTCGGATACATATACGAATACGGATTGACTCGGTTACGGATACGAATAATGAGTATCGAATACGGTATGAATCGGATTCGGAGAAGGTCGGATACAAATATCTATTCGGATATTGAGTAAAAGCAGCATATATATATGGAAACTTATATATGGGCAGCTAGCTTAGCTAGGGTTATAGAGGATTGGGCTGTTTGGGCAAGAAGTAATATTTTGGCCCAATTCCAAAAATCACAATTCGAGACAAAAAAAAAAAAAAAACAAAAAAATATTGTTTGAGGCCCTAAACAAATTCAAATGAAAATGTTGTAATCAACAAAGTTTCATAACTTTTTGGGATCTAAAACTTTGATTTTGGTTGTTTCTCCATCTGAAATTCCGAGGTCGTTTGAAAAATACAAATTTTAAATTTGAGAAATTCAAACGTAGTTTTCCTTGACAAGATGATTTCAAATAAAAAAGTTTTCAACTATAAAGTTTCATAAATTTCTGAGATCTACAACTTTTATTTTGGTCATTTGTTTATCCGACATAGTGGTAGTAACATTATTCACGAATCTCACACATCTCTCTTATAGTTTATGAAACTACAAGAGAGAGATGTAAATTTTATGAACAATGTTACTACCACAATCTCGGATGAACAAATGACTAAAATAAAAGTTGTAGATCTTGATGAGTTTTACAACTTTTATGTTCATGACTTTTTCAGCTGAAGTCATTTAATGTTTGAAAATGACGTTTGAAGTTGCTATTTTTTGAAATTCAAAATTCAAATACATAGAATTCAGTCACATGAAAAGATGAACACAATAATAGCTATAAAAACACAATAAATTGATAGAACTTGATTTTAGAAAAATTTAGAAAAAAAAAATTATCAAATTTGAAGTTAGTACGAGGGAGAAAAACTAGTTACAAGTTTTAGCCAAAGATTAAAAAGAGAAATAGACGTTCTTTAACCATTTCGAAATTGAAATTCAAATAGCATTTTGAAGCACTAAATAATTTCAAATGAAAAGGTTGTAAACAACAAAGTTTCATAACTTTTTGAGATCTACAATTTTTATTTTGATCATTTCTCCCTCCAAAGTCGTTTGAATAATATCCGGATAATATCCGTTTGAATAATATATGGATATATCCGATACTTAACCGGATTATCCGATATCCGCCGGATATCGATAATATTACATTCGTATTTGATATCCGCCTAAGATATCCGTTTTATTATCCGTATCCGAAAAAAATTACGGATATCCGAGTAACTATCTAGATAAGTGTTCATATTTGTTCGGTCGAACGGACGATCGAATAAATATCCGTACCATTTTTATCCATAGTCGAGATGAGGGAGAGAGAGGGAGGCCGGGTGGAGAATAAATTAAAGATGAGATCAAATCTGAATGGAAGTGACCACGGCCGCAGCAGTTGCATTGAATAAAAAAATTTCCGATATCACTGCCGGTGCTAAATAAAAAACCGACAATACTACTATCACCGTTGTTTGTAATTAGGCCCGGCAGTATTAATCTATTATCACTGTTAGAGTTTTGTAAAAACTAGTAGTGATTATAGAACTGACAGCAACATTTTATTTAGTGTTTATTACCAACAAATAGGCCGGCACGAAGATGTCCATCAACAGAAACCCACGTTAAAGCGTGTGTCTACCGACAAATACCACGTTTCACCGTCTCCTGCACAGTAAAATTACCCCACTGATTCATATACTCCATACATTTCGAGCCCACTGTCAGACAGGCGATCAGGCCGTGTTGGTGGTGTACTTTGTGGGTCAGACACGTGAGTGCATTGAACTCGCGCAAGCTGACGATCGAGCCGAACGCCGGCCAACTACTACCACCTTTAGTTCCATCAACTTTGCACCTCCAAAGTTTGCATAGTGCAAGATTCTCCATCACATCACATCATATTAAATCTTTAAATACATGCATGAAATATTAAATATAGATAAAAAAATAACTAATTACACAGTTTGGTTATACTTTGCGAGAAAAACGTTTTAAGCCTAATTAATCAACGGTTGGATAATTATTATCAAATACAAACGAAATGTTACAGTACCACTACAATATGTGCTTTTTGGATGCAACTAAACAAGGCCGAGGTCCGGGCCACACCACACCACTACTGGTGCTGGTAATTCCCTCGACCCCCGCGCCGAGCGGCCACTCCTGCCAGGCCGGGGGCGTGCCCACTGCCGTGCCATTTCCGATGCTTTGCATTCTGCACGCAGAGATGATGCAGTGGCTGGGATCGTCGTCGGAGTACTCGTACTGGGGTGCAGGACGCGTGATCTGCTCCGTTTATTTTGTTTGGCGTCCATCAATTCCATCAATTCTAGCCTGATGATGGAACTGAAACAGGCACACAGCACAGCATGTACACCAGCACAGAGCACAGGCGCAGGAGGGTGGGTGGGCTACCTATACGACGTCACAGCTGTAGAGCCTTGGCCGTGGCGTGGCAGTGGCAGTGGCACCGATGATCCACGACCATGACCAGGCAAGCACGACGTACATGGTCGCATGCATGCATATATGGCATGGCCGGGCCTACGTCCATTAATCTCGACGCATGCATGCAATGCATGCTAATCAATCAGTACACGTACGACTCCTACATGGCGTGGGGCGTGCCATGATCTCTTGCTCAGCTCATCAGGCAGGCTATCACCGGTAGAGAAACGACTTTTGATCCACTTCGAAATTTGACTTTAGTCCTGGTATTTTTCGCGTCTGGGACTAGAGAAAACTTTAGTCCCGGTTAGTAACTCCAACCGGAACTAAAGGTCCCTACCCAACGGCTGCTGCGGTAGGCTTTTGCTGCAGGAGACCTTTAGTCCCGGTTGAAGCTACCAACTGGGACTAAATGTTAACTTTTACTCCCGGTTGGTCCCTCCAACCGGGAGTAAAAGTCTACTCCCGGCTGGAGGCTCCATCCGAGACTAGAAAGGGACATTTAATCCCGGTTGTTATCTCAATCGGGACTAAAGTTCCCTCGTATATACCCCTTCTTCCTCCCTGCTTCCGATCCAACCAAGCAGCGCAGTTTTCGGATCCCATGCCGACCCACGGGCGCTCAAGTCCTTCGCTTCGACCTCTCCAATGGGGTCGACCTCGGGGACGCCGCCGCGGCCGAGGTGGGGCGGGCGAGGGGGCTCAGGAGGCTCTCGCTGGCAAGGTGGAAGCCGCTCACTGACATGGGGCTCGGATGCGTCGCCGTCGTGTGCACCGAGCTGAGAGAGCTCTCGCTCAAGTGGTGCCTTGGGGTCTCGGATATGGGGATCCAGCTCCTCGCGCTCAAGTGCAGGAAGCTGACCAGCCTGGATCTCTCCTACACCATGGTGAGCGCTCAGGTTTTTTTGGTGCTCTGCTTGATTCTTGGATGATTCTATCTTTTGTTTCCTCCTAGTACGTTTGTTGATTTGATAAGACATCCAGGTTCCTCTTTAATTCACCGGAGCAAAATGGGCTTCAGTTTCCCTAAAAAAAATGGGCTTCAGTTACTCCCTTTGCTAGTTACTAGTACATATTTGCTCAATCTAATTTATTATTCAGTTAGTGCTTAGGGCATATTGTGCTGGAGTAATAATAAAATGGAAACGTATCTTGTGTTGCAGATCACAAAGGATAGTTTTCCTGCAATCATGAAGCTACCCAATCTTCAAGAGTTGACACTGGGACATGACAGAATGGGGCGCCCATTTTGTGCTTACAGTATGAGTTGCTTGATGAGATGATGGATTTTGGTCACCCACAATACACGGAGGCTTAAGATCTTGAGTGAGTTCATCAAGACAGATGCATACAGGATGGAGGTCACGCAGCAAAAAAAAAAACTAAAACGAATCATCAATTGAAGATACCAACCGGAAAAAAAAGAAAAAAAAACCTTTACTCCCGGTTGGTAATACAAACCGGGACTAAAGGGTCGGCCCACGTGGCCAGGCCGGGAGGCCTCTTTAGCCCCGGTTGGTATTACCAACCTTTAGTCTCGGATGAGAAACCGGGACTAAAGGAGAGGTCCTTTAGTCCCGGATTCGTACTCCCGGTTGAAAAACCGGGACTAAAAGGGTTTCCCAACCGGGAATACAGCTTGTTTCTGTACTGTGTATGTAGCCCTGCCGCCCCGGTCTCTGGTGGGCTTCCTGCACCTGCTGTCCAGTACTCTTTGTCGCTTCACACAGTCACTCGTTTATATAGGTACCAGGTACGTAATATACGTACGTGTCTTAGGGTGGTAACACAGGACTGACAATGGTGGATCTAGAATTTTACTTAAGTGTGTACACCGCACAAAAAAATTATTTATCGTTAACAAACGGTATACCTGATATGGCATACATACCCCTGGATCCGCTAATGAGGCCGGCAGAACCTTGAAGAAGTGAAAGTAGAACTTGGCAACCCCTAAATTGTTTGGGAGTACCATTTGGTAAAGCAGACATCACTGAGAGACTTTTAAAGTTTATATATACGACTTGTTGGCACTCAAAATTGGCTGAAAGATCGAGGCAAACCTGGGCTGATCTAGGGAAAAAAAACCAGCTAAGCCGGTTTTAGTAACTTTGTAAATGCATAATGGACTCTACCATTGTGTTCCTCTAATCGATGCAATCAAAAAGCTTGCATAGAACGTGTAGTTTGATGTCCGAATGAAGAAAATATGACTTCAGGAAAGTCCACTCGGCAGAGAAATCGCCAAATCGGCTTAGCCAATTTCCCAAACCAGTTCATGGTGGCTCGGTGACGTCGATGATTACGAATTTAGGATACGAGATGTCGAGAGGAATTAAAACAAGGAAAATGAAAGCACGAGTACAAAATAAGCCCATTTCTTGGTTGTGCGTACATGAGGCCCCAGGGCCCAATTGGGGAAGCCTGTAACAAGGCAGCTGACAGCTAAGCCGGACATCCAAGCCCAGAGGCCCAGGACAAGATGGATGACCAAAACTTTTGTCAAATATGAATTTCCGGACGAGAAAATGTGCGCTGCGCACGTGCACGTCCAAGGCTCCAGGTTTTCCTGTTACTTTCTCAACCACATTTCAAGCATTTTCTCTCTTTTTTTTCGAATACGCACGAGCTCTGCATATCATTTCATTTAAAGGAGTTTACGTTACAAGGGATCGACGCCGGCTGAGCCAGGGCATTTCCTTTTTTTTTTCAATCGTCACATTGTTTAATAGAAGTATATATACATTTTATTACATATACAGTGGCATCGTAGAAGAGAATCACTTTCTCTTCCAAAAAACCCAAAACAAAAAAGAAGAAGGAAAACGAAGTTCGTAATCGTAGCATCGAACAGACAATCACGTTTCCTTCTCCTCGATCTTCTCTTCTTTCCGCGGAAAACGAAGGAAACCCGACCAAGAACGCGCAAGCAGAATAATAAGCACACCTACGCACCGCCAGAGGAGCTGGTCGATCTCAAGCTCGCGGGCCTGCCTGCTCCGATCACCTGTCGTCCTCGTCGTCGAGCTGCGACGGGCTCCTCCAGAAGCCGGTGCCGTAGAACCTCGCCCACACCTCCTTCTCCAGCTCCCCGGTCTCCTCCAGCTCCAAGGCGGGCTTCACGGGCAGCGCCACGGCCGCCTCGGCAGCGCTGGCGTCCACCTCGACGACGCCGGCGTCGTCCACGAGCAGCTCGTAGATCTCCGTGGCCTGCCCCGCGGAGGCGGAGCGCCGCCGGCCGGCCTTGCGCACGCGGGCGGCCCTGCGGCACAGAGCCGCGGGCGCGCGCACCGTGGCGAGCACCACGACCTCCACCATGACGCAGGGGAAGCAGCAGCACACGGCGGCGCAGCCCGCCGCGGTGCCGCCGGCCACCTCGCTGCAGGTGCGGTGCTCCCTGATGTTGAGGTCGCTGTCGCAGCGCTGTGGAGGGCGGCGCACTGGCACTGCACCCGGGCGGCGCGGCGGGAACGCCGCTGACCGCCGCAGCTGGTGATGATGCCCCGCCGACAGCGGGCCCTGCTCCCGGACCTGCACGGGCCCCCGCGGACGCTGGCGCGGGGCGTCGTCGGCCCTCGCCGCCGCCACGGCCACGGAGGTCGCCGGGCACGACGCCTCGTAGCGGCGGTGCTGATGCGGCCTGTTGGACCGGACGGCCGCCATGGCGAGCTCTCTGGCTGGCCCTCGATGGCGCGGCGCCCGCCCAAGATGGATGGGAGGCCGCGGAAGGAAGGCGTGGGCGGAGGAGACGGGGCTGGTTAATTATAATAATAATGGGGCTGCTGCGGGGGCTCGCCTCGCCGGGGTCAGCGGCGGCGAAACCGGCAGGCCGCTACCCAATTTTGGCCGGTGATTGATGAGTAGAAACGGCCGGGCACCGAGCACAGATGCATGGGAGCATGCATTGCGTGCACGCTGCAGCAGCAATGCGTTGGGCGTTGCACTTGCACGCGCGTTGAGAGCCAACAATGCAACATGCACATCAGTCGCAGCTGCGCCTACCTGCCGGCCGTGCCAGACCAGACTGACATTTCTGGGAATCCTTGTGCGTGCGGTCGTGCCAGAATCCAATCCATGGTAGAGTGGTACGCCGGCGGCATGTTCTCGCCACGCGTCGATTTGGCCCGCCACATGTCATTGCCTTCGGACACGCTGACATTCCTCTGCCATTGGATCTGATCAGCCGGCCATGCGGCAACCTTGCAGCTGAGCCGAGGCCAAGAATGCACTTGCACTCTTACAACGGCCACGGCTATCTCTACATACGTGTGTTAGTAAAGTTTTAGGGTGTCACATCGAGTGTCACATGAAGTATTCAGATACTAATAAAAAAATAAATTATAGAATTCGTCGGTAATCCGCGAGACGAATTTATTAAGCATAATTAATTCGTCATTAGCACATGTGTTACTGTAGCACAATGGGGGAGCAGAATCTGTTACCTTGTTGAGAAGACTGAATGACAACCCGATAGCTTCCTCCTTGAAGTAGTCCCCAAAAGACCAACTTCCAAGCATTTCCATGAATCGATGGTAAGTAGTGTAACTTTTGTAGTGATCAATCACGTCATTGTCACCACTTACAATAATGCACCTCAGCGAAAAGTAGGTGCGATGCCTCCCTCTAACATTAAGGGTTCCCTTGAACCATTTGAAAATAGGAGAAAAACGTCAGACGAACCGTGTCCAGCGGCCACTCCAACGACGATGCTATCGCCATTACCAGGGATCAATGTTTGAAATAGCGGGCTATTTAGCGCCAACCTTCTCCAAAAGCTATAGCAGGATATAGCAGAAGGGCGGTTTTATAGAAAACATAATTTTTTTTAATGAATTATGCATGGAAATATTTAACTAGACAAAAATTTTATGAACACAAATACTCAAATACATGTAGAATATCTAGGAGAATATGTCTTAAGTCTATTATATTGGAACCAACAACACATGTACAATATCTAGGAGAATATGTTTTTAAGTCCATTACATTTGAACAGATTGTTCCGAACAGTTGAGAGAGGTTGGAGAGAGCTCGGCTTTGGAGAAGGGACACACTAGGGTTTTCAACAAGTGGAAATGAGTGGGTGGAGTTCCCTTGTCTTCATGCCCTTGGGACACTTATATAAGCAATGACTATTTACATGTGGCCCCTTGGTGGGGTTGGATTTCATATGACACTACTCTGGCTACTAGTTGGGCCTCTTCTAGGGCTCCCCCAACATCGCCCCCGACAAACATTTTGGTGGGAGGGGCTTCACCAACACTTCAGCTTATACAATGACTCACTCACACCAACACTTCGACATGAGGGGTCTCAATATCATCTTTAGCCACTAGAATGACTAACCTCTGACGCCAACAGGTAGAGGGACTTCTCCAACATCTTTGATGTTAGCACCAACAACATATCATAGTCAATATCTTCAGCAACTACAACAACTTGCCTCCGCTAAAACTTTGGCATGAGGGGCTTCGCTGACATCTTTAGGATCTACACCAACATTGCCTTCGTCAACACCTTTGGCATGAGGGCTTTTGCCAACATCTTCGACATCCACCACAACTTGCCCCCGCCAAAATTTTGGCATAAGGGGCTTTGCCAACATCTTTGGTAACAATGGCGGCTCATCTCCACCAACGCTTTGGCAGGAGGGGCTTCGCTATCATGTTTGGCTGCTACAATGGCTCAAGAGCTAGGGGAGCATACTAGAGGACCCTACAATCCTTAGGGTGAAAGTCTTTTGCCCAACGTTTATGAGAGAAAATTTGGAGGCTTCACGGAAACCTTTAGCTACGACTACGATGACTACAACCATTCGTAAAGAAAAGGCATGTCTCCATGCGAAGCCTTAGACAAGAAGGTCCTGAATGCAAAGATCTACATGCCGAGAAGGTCCTAGAGATGAAGATATACGCAACGAGAAGGTCCTAAAGGCAAAGATCTACATGTCAAGAAGGTCCTAGAGATGAAGATCTACGTAAGGAGAAGGTCCCAAAGGTAAATACCTACGCGTTGAGTGAACCTAACAATCCATGTCACATAAGCGATTGAGGAAGCCGAAGCTCGTATATGAAGATACCAGGGAGATTGACATAGAAGCACTTAGAGTAGCAACCTTAGTTAGCACTTGTATAGGCTAGAGTCGTGTGCATGCTCTTTTCTCCATGCCCATTTTCCCACAAGGTTTTGGGATGAAGTTTTTAGTGAGGCGCACACGCATAGGTTGCAAAGGGCAATCCCTGCGACCAGGGTTTGAGTTCTATTTATGCCTCTTCTAGTATGAGCATCTATTAGGTCATGTTGTACCGGGAATAACCCAATAGCTGAGGAGCTACTATTAAGGAAGCCCATGAGGTATTGAAAGCCCTAGTTTGGTTTTGGATAATTGATGAAACCTTGGTGTACTAACCCTTTGCTCTAGGTGATATGAGAAAGGTTGGTACACAGCAAGTGGTGGAGCTAGATGATGGCACTTATGGTGATGGAAGTGGCCAAAAGATGAGATCAAGAGCTCCAACTTGGAAAAGAGGAAAGAGAAAGACAAAAATGAGCTCAAGGCAAAGGTATAATTAATAGGGCCATTTTTGTTTCGCCAATCAAGATAACATAGAGGGTGTGACTGGGTTTAGGATAGATAGTCATACTATGAAGAAGGGAAAATCATGGTTAAAGCGGTTATCCAAGTGCCACTAGGTGATGTCATTCATGTATATGCATTAGGACCTAGTGTGGACTAACTTAACCCTTGGAACTTGGCTTAAAATGTTGCTAATTGACGTACACATGTGTTGAAATACTTGGAGTTGCACACATGCACAAGGATTGAAGAAATAAGTTGAAGAGGAGGTGTTCAGGGGCTCCGCGCACTGGTTGGGGTGGAGTCCAGACCATGGCGCATGGGTCCGGTACTCAACCTGGCCTAGCCTGGCGCAGAGGAGGCGTAGGCTCCGGACTCTGCATGGCAGAGCGTTCGAACCATGGCCGCAGGGTCCGGTTGCTGACCCTAGCACATGTGGCATGCTAGCGTGCTCCGGACTTAGTCCGGAGGTGGGTCCAGACCATGGCGTAGTCCGAAGAATTATTTTCAACAAATACAGACTAGCCAAAACTGTTCAGACTTAGTGTCCGTTGGTCTGGAGGCAGGGTTGAGACTCAGTCCGGAGTCAATCTTGGCTCTCTAGACCTCTCTGTTGTGGTTCAGACTGTGATGGCGTTTGGTCCAGACCCACGGTCCGGAGGCTCAGTCCGGAGCGTGGCAAAGAGGCGTTGGTGCGACAACGGCTACTTGGACACGTGGTGCTCGTAGATTCAAAGCGGGGAGGACCTGGACCGGTGGAGCTTGGTCCGTACCATGGGTCCAGAGCTTGGTCCATAGGTCCCTCGACAAGGTAACGGCTAGTGAGCCACTTGGGGCTATAAATAGAATTTGGCCAGTTTGGGCTCACACACTTGGACACTTTGATCATTGATACATCCTTGTGAGCTAAGCCAAACCTCTCCCACTCAATCTCTTGCTTGATTGTGCATCTAAGTGAGTTGGGAGTGATTCAAAGTGTATTTGCTTGAGTGATTGCATTTAGTGGCACTTGGGGATCAATTTGTTGCGGTTTTCTTGTTACTCTTGGTGGTTGCCGCCCCTAGATGGCTTAGAGCAACGGAGGTATTTTAGCACGAGTTGGTGATTGTTCGTGGCCACTCCCGGTGAACTTGTGAGGGGTTCTTGGTCTTATTTTCCGGTGAAGCGCCAAAAGCTGCTCTAGTGGAATGCTCGTGACTTGTGTACCCCCATCTTGTGTTGGTTCTTACAACCTCCCTATTGTAGGGTTTGGCTTGTGTGTGCCAATTAGCGCGTGAACCACCAAGTGAGTGTGTCGTCACAACGGGGACGTAGCTTGCCGGCAAGCAAGTGAACCTCAGGATAAATCTTGGTGCCAATTGGATTTCTTTGTTATTGATTTCTCTCTTGCCGGCTCGGTATAATCCACTACTCCTCTTGTACTTATATTTTTAGTACTACTTGTATAGGAGTAGCAAACTAGTGTAGCTTAGTTATTTAGCTAGAGGTAGTTAAGTAGCGCTTCTTGTTCTAGCTAGCTCACTAGCTTAGTTAAGTAGTGACATAGCCTTTGTGTGCCTTAGAGATCATAACTAACTAGAATTGTAGATAGGTGGCTTGCCGTTTGAATTAGAGCTGGAGCAAAACCGCATTTTGTCATTTAGTTGTCTAACCGATTGTTCTAGTGTTTTATAGATAATTTTTATTAGGCTAACCCCTCCCTCTAGCCATTTAGGACCTTTCAAGTGGTATCAGAGCCGTAGTCACTGTTGATTAAGGCTTAACAACCTACGGTGTCAAAATGACTCAAATCGACCTTATAGGGAAGCCACCACACTTCGACGACACAAGCTATGACTACTTGAAGAGAAAGATGTGTGCACACTTGAAATCAATCAATAGAAAGATATGGGAAGTTGTGGAGAAGGACTTTGCGGTGCTTGATCCATCAAGTCCAACCGCAAGAGAAGAAGAAAAGCTTCAACACAATGACATTGCTATCAACCTCTTATATGAAGCTCTTGATTTGAAGGTGTTTGAGCAAATCAAGGATCTTGAGAGAGCTCATGATGTGTGGACAAGATTAGAGGAATCATATGAGGGCACCAAGGCGATGAAGGGTGCCAAGCTATACATGCTCAAGGACAAGTACCCATCATTCAAGATGAAGGAAGATGAAACAATCCCGAAGATGTTCCATAGGCTCCAAACAATTGTCAATGATTTGAAGAGCCTAGGAGAGAAGGTGGAAAACAAGGACTTCTCACACCGGTTCTTGAGATGCGTACCACCAAAGTTTGACACTTTGGTGACTATTCTTGTGAGAGATGACTTGGATACAATGACCCCAAACCAAGTACTAGGTGATGTGGTCACACAAGACATACCGTGTGGAACGGGATGGGGACATCAAATATGAAGAAGAGAAGAAGAAGAAGAGCGTGGCATTCAAAGGCCGGCACATCATCCAAGAGCAAGGGCAAGGCAAAGAAAGAAGTATCTAAGTGATGATGAGCAAGCTAGTGGTGTTGATGAAGATGAAGAAATGGCTCTATTTGTGTGCCGGTTTGGCAAATTCATGAAGAAGGGCTATGGTGCAAAAAAGAGAAGAACACATCTAAGTGTTGCAAGAAAGAGAAGAACACATGCTGTCTGCAAAACTGCAAAATGTTGTCCTAGTTCAGCAGCCATTCATCAATCAAAGTCATTAGTATACCGAGCCTTCTGGAAGAACACATCTATATGATTCCTGATGCAAAGTCAGTGGCAGTTGAACAAGTCTTCACGCGATAGTTTATCGAAATCCCTGTCTTCAGATCCCAAAATTCAGCAAGAGGCCAATTCTGCAACGAACAATTCAGATTCACGCAGAAATAAAGAGGGACTACTAAATGGTAGACTACAGTTTGGACTGACCAGAAACTGTTCCTCTATCTAGTATCTTTTTCATGGAAACAGAGGGCGCCAAATTGAAGCAGTTACACACCACATGCTGGCAACAAAAAATGCAAATTGCAGAGTAACTATCCATGTCCCAGCATCAACTCTGTAGAACACAAAGTTTGGATGCTGAGAAACTCTGAAACACATGCATATGAAGTTAGAAGGATGCAAACTTTATGCATCTCCAAAGTTGCAGGAATGCCAGAAATCTGTACAAAACAAAGTTTGTCATAGAGTATAATAATTTAGTAATCATGGTGTTTTTGGTTTTGAACCAAACCATGGATGCTCATTGCTGTTATTAAGAAAGAATGTGCTAAACTGAAGCAGATCGACACCACATGCTGTCTGTAGAACTGCAAAGTGTTGTCCATTTTCAGCAGCCATTCATCAAGCAAAGTCATTGGTATACCAAGACTTCTGGAAGAACACATCTAACTGAGTTTGAATTACAAAAACTCAAATTCAGTAACTTCTGCGTTACAGAAGTTTCAGAAATATGTTGAGTGCAATTTGAATACAGAGTTTTGATCTATATGATTGCTGTTATGTTATGTAATCATGTTTTTAAAGCGTGATAAAAGCATCGATGTTCGGGTGTCTGAACCCATATCGCTGATTGCCAGCAGACACCGTCACCAATGAATCTGGTACTACTATTATATGCATATATACACAACAGAACGGCATGTACATATTGTTTCGATTCAGGAATCTGGACTACCAAAATTCAGAGATGCTGTAGATTCAGCTGAGATGTTCACGGCAGAGCAGAGACAAAAGGACCAGTAAATTTCTTCTCAGAAATCGATTCGATAATAATGCAATTTACAGTACGTCTCAACATTACATAAGCGATTACATGACCTGCTCGTTTGAATAGACTGATCAGATCTTTAGTTCTTTACATCCAAAAATCGAAGGACTCTTTCATCAGGTTACACACACCGCTGGAGCAGTGGAGCGACGAGCAGCTGCTTCTTGGGCAACGCCGATTCCACCTCTTCGTTCCTGAGCAGCTCCATCGCGTCGACCTTGGCAAACCATGGGTGTTTGAGCGCGGCGGTCGCCGTGAGCCGCTTGTCGGGGTTGCACGTCAGGAGGCCATTAAGGACCTCGAATCCTTTCTGGGACAGCAATGCCTCAGGGAACATCTTGCGTAAGTGGTTGTCATGATGCACGTCGTCTAGTATCGGCAGCAGTTCGGTGGCGAACGGCGTGGACGAGAACCACGGCCAAGTACTGTCGTCTGGGTAGCCGAGCACGTCGAAGATCGAGCGGGCCTGTCCTTCCTCGTCGCGGCCATCCTCGAATAGCACCTGGCCATTGATGAGCTCAGCCATGACACATCCCAGCGACCAGGTATCGACGAGCGCGTCGCAGTCGGGCTTCTCCAGCAGCACCTCGGGCGCCATGTACCACAGCGTGCCGTCCGGCTCGTACGTTGACGCCTCGGACATGGACATGGCGAGCCCAAAGTCACAGATCTTGACGGCCTTGCCATCGTCGCTGATGAGGATGTTGTCGGGCTTGATGTCGCGGTGGATGATGCGTTCCTCGTGCATCTTCTCGGCGCCCGTCAGCAGCTGCCACATGATGGTGTGCACCGTGGCCTCCGGGAGCGGCAGGCCGCCGCGGCGGCGCTGAGCACGGAGGAACTTCTCGATGCTTGGCCCACCGACGCACTCCATGACGAGGCGGAGCTCCGTGGTGGCCGGATCGCGCACGAGGCCGTGGACGTCGACGATGAACGGGTGGCCCCCGCACGCCTCGTGGAGGCGCGCCTCCCGCAGCAGCTCCTCGGGACCGCCGCCGTCGGGCTCGGTGATGCGCTTGATGGCGACGGTTTCGCCGGTGACACGGTGCCGCGCCTTGGCGACGGCGCCGAAGGCGCCCTTGCCGAGGCAGCACATCTCCTCGTAGTCGTCGGTGCTGCCGAAGGCGTCGACGTGGCTCCTCTTGTTGTAGGTCGTCGCCCCTGCGGCGGCGGCGACGCCCGGACGACTCGCTCCCGTCGCCGTCGTAGCGCTGCCGGGTGAAGAAGTGGCAGATCCCGCTGCCTGATCCCTAGTCGGTGGCAACATCTCGGCGGGATTGAGGTCAGCTGGGAGGACGGCGTTCCGACTGATCTGGGGTCTGGGCGGCGGAGAAGGAAGGGGTTTTAATTTGGCCAAGAGTCTGTTATCACTTATCAGTTACGGTTACGGGTACGTAACCGACACGCTAAAGTTTAGCGACACGTAAAACCAGCTAAGGGGCTGTTTGGACACTAGTAAACATTTACAAGTGTAAGAGCTTTCCATTTGTATTTTCTTGTGCACAACAGGACCAGTGTAATTAAAATCCTCTGAAATTTTCTGTTTGGGAGAAGTAAAGAAATCAAGTCCTTTTAAAGTGCGAGAACGATCTCTAGCTAGTGGCCGAAGCAGTCGACGAGAATAGACAGAGCCATCTCGGCGGTGGGACCCGGCGGTGAGGGTGCAACGGCTGCGAGAAGCGCATCATCGGCAGCGCCAAGCGAGCCGGCGCCGCCCGCTCACGTGTCGATTGGACGACTCGCAGCCGCTGCAGGCTCCGACGAGGCTTGACGCGGCGACGGCAAGGCCCTGGCGCCGGACAGGATGCCACCGACGGCTGCTCGCTCGTCCACACCGCTGTAGAGACCGAGCGGCCGAGGGCCTGCAGATCGCTCCGCCTCCGCCGACCATCGGGGCCGGGCAGCTCGCTCGACGACATCGCCGGCAAGACGATGGAGTCGGGGCGGGCGTGGCCGAGAAGACAACGCGGAGTTTGGCCGATCGCCTCGCCTTCGCTGTCTCTGCGGTGCCCGATATCCGTCGGAAAAAAATAATTGCCTCTCGAGGCGATTTTTATTTTCCGCCTATAACCGTGCAAACCAGCCGTACTATTTTATTTGATACCGGTTATCCAAACAGTGTTTCAGAATTACACATGGAAAATTAGTGTGGGCTGTATTTTACAATGGTATTAGATCTAATACTTGCCTTCCAACCCAGGACTAATTTTTATCCCTGTTACATCAAATATTTGGACACTAATTTGAATTATTAAACATATACTAATTACAAAACTAGTTGGTTTTACGTGTTTGTGCTTCCATGCTTGTTTGGCCCCGGCCACGTCCATGCGCGTGCAAGACAATCGGTCTTCCTAGCCGTACTAGATTAGACAAAATTCCGGATTGATGTGTCGGACTTCAGCCGATCTACATAGACTTGACAAAAGGCTTGTTTGTGAGTTTTTTCAGCTCTGCTCCACCAACTTCATCGTGGAACAGCTTCACTGTGGAGTTTCTGGAGCAAGTGATCCTGTTTGGCACACAGGTTAGCTTCAACTATAGGAACATGAGGTTTCTCTAAGAAGGGTCTAATATAGCCCCTGAATGATGTTTGGTGTATGCTTTGATGTATGCGGAGCATGTGTAACTGAATTATTTTTCTCAATTCAAATATGATGTAAAATATTATTGTTGGGAAAGTAGTCCAGCAGTCTACGTACCAGGATGTCTCCGCACGGGCGAAGGTTCATCCAATCAGGATAACAAGGCAGATGACACAATTAGGGTTTCCTTGATGGTTCTCTCTCTTTACATGGGGTTTGCTCCCCCCTTTTATAGTTCATTGTACAAGGTAAAGTTCTTTTACATCTATGCCCTGCGATCAGCAAAGCATATTCTAGGGATATACCCGTACACTAGCAAGCCCTTTTGCAGGTATCTTAGGTCCTCCCTCCTTGCCGCCTCGCCTCATGAGCCTTTGCTTTGAGCCCGCTGGAAGCCCTGTCTGCGGGCGGCGAAGGCTTGGCCATCGCCGATCTTCATTGTCTTCCGAGTTGACTTGTCATCTTCCCACCAACGACCTTCGCAACGTCCACCTACGCGCTCCCCCGCAATGAGCCCCGGGCCTTCGCTGAAGGAGCCTTCGCAGATCAGCCTAGGCACAAATAACCGAGAACCAAAAACCAAAACCGAAGTAACCAAAACCTAAATATTCGGTCCCAAATTCGATTCCAGGTTCTGCGGAACCAAAATAATTATGGTTATTTCGGTTCAGTGCTCGGTTAACTGAAATAACCGAACTTGCAGTCTAAAGGCCCATAAGAATGCAGCCTAACCCAATACACAAATAAACTCTACATATACACAAATAAACCGGATGCCATCACCGTCGCTATTCGTCTGATGCGGTAGGGGTTAATAGTGTATCACCACCGAATCATTTAGTAACCTGACACCAACTAAAGGATCATCACGGACGGATTGTACTACAATGCGACGGTAACCGTGCCCTATGACCAGACGGTTCATACGCTAAAGCGACGGTGATGTTTGCCTCGACACAGGCGGGCCATGCTCCAATGCGACGGAAACAATGATCACATTAGGAACATATCATAAGCCAATATGGCAGTGTTAGTATATATACACACACAGGCGGGTCGGGCCCCAATGCAACAAAAATAAGGATCTGATCACGGACGGATCATAAGCCAACACGGTGGTGTTAGTGTACACCACAGTCGGTCTCAGATGCCAATGGTGAAGGCTATGACCATCACTGTCGACAGCTTACTGTCGAAGCCGAAATTGAACTGCGATGGGAGTTACGACGTGGCTGTGAAAGGTCTGAATGTAGTAATGGCTTAAATAGATTGTGTAGCTTAGTTGTAGTTAGTTAACTAGTTGTTTAGTTATCTAGCTAGCTCTCTAATTTAGGCAAGTAGTGACATAGCCTTTGTGTGCCTTAGTGTCATAATTCACTAGTGTTGTGGGTAGGTAGCTTGCTATTTGATTAGAGCTAGAGCAAAACATAATTATCATCATTTAGTTATCTAATCAGTTGCTCTAGTGTTTTGTAAAAGAATTTTTATTAGGCTATTCACTCCCCCTCTAGCCATTTAGGGCCTTTCAAGGTGCCGTTCATCTTGAGGGATAGAGAGGCGAAATCTTTTTAACAGGAGACCTCCTCCTCGCATCGAGCACAGTCTTGTCTGACTTCTTGTACGAGACCAACAACCTCTTGGGCACCTGCTGAGCTTGAAGCTGGGCAAGGCTAACGAAGGTTTTGGTAGTCGTATCATCATTCTCTTCCTCGCCGGTGAAAAAGTGTTGCCCATCAAAAGGTTCCATCTCAGGGGCTATAAGCGGAACAAGGGAGCAACCAACGGACATAGAAGAATTTGGAACCCTTTCTCCGGTAGATGTGGATATGTTTATCCAAGAATTCGTTGACTACGCAGGAAGAGCAAAATCTCATGACACAATCTGTTGACATCCACATGTTTTCTTTGGCTCTGCAAGCACCACACCTTGTGAGGGCCAAGGGCTATTTAGTTTAACTGTGATATATTTTTAGCACCCTAATCCTAACCAAGACAAATATATATCCTTTAGTTTATAGAACTATAATCTATGTCTCCCCCTTTAGGTTCTTTACTTAATAAATGATATAATAAACCATTAAATAATTATTAAACTATTGATTATTGAGTGTTGATCACAAGAGTATGTTGATCGATATGATGAATGCTAAATGATGTGTTGTAATTGACGGTTCCAAACAGGAGAGAGGGAGGAGAGAGCTCAACAGTGGAGAGGGAAGCACTAGGGTTTTGAATAAGTGGAAATGAGTGAGAGGTGAGGTCCCTTGCCCTCATGCCCTTAGGCACTTTTATAGGCAATGGCTACTTACAAGTGGCCCCTTGGTGGGGTTGGATTTCATATGACACTATGCTAGCTGCTAGTTGGGCCTCTTCTAGGGGGAGATTTGGCCCATATATCTCATGGGCTCCCATAACAGTAGTCCCTCAACTATTGGGTTATGGATGGTACAACATGTCCTAATAGATGCACGTACTAGATGAGGCGCAAATAGAACTCAAACGTTGGTCGCGAGGATGACCCTTCGCAACCTACGTGTGTGCGCCTCACTAAAAACTCCGTCCCAAAAACCCATGGGAAAAAGGGCACGGAGAAAAGAGCATGCACATGACTCTACTCTATACAAGTGCTAACTCAGGAAGCCACTAACTCCAGTGCCTTGATGTCGATCTCCGTGGTATCTTCATATTTGGGCTTGGGCTTTGGCTTCCTTGGGCGCTTCTATGGCATGGATTGTTAGCTTCGCTTGACATATAGGTCTTTGCCTCTGGGAGCTTCTCAATGTGCAGATCTTTCCTCTAGGACCATCACATTGTGTAGATCTTAATCTCTGGTCTAGGACCTTCTCTGTGTGTAGATCTTCGCCTTTGGGACCTTCTTGTCTGAGGCTTCATGTGGAGACACACCTTCACTTCACGAATGGGTGTAGTCATCGTAGTTGATGTACTTGAAGTTGTCATAGAGAAAGTTGTTGTGAAGCCTCCAAATCTTCTCTCATGAGCGTCGAGCAAAAGACTTCAGCCTCTGGAGTGTTAGGTCCTCTAGTATTCTCCCCTAGCTCCTCTTGGCTGGCGCTTGTGACCGAATATTTAGTTGTGCATGTATGTTGTAGTTGACTTAGTCATAGTAGCCATAGTAGCATAAGTCGATTTCCAAACCAAAGTTGTTGGTGAGCCCCTCGAGCCGATGTGGTCGAGGAAGGTGAAGTAGACCTCGGTGCCGAACGAGTTGATGTAGCCCCTCAAACTAGGCGATGAAGGCAAGTTTTCATAAATGTTGATGCCAAAGGTGTCGACAAAGGTTCTTGAGCCGTTGTAGTGGCCAAAGATGATAGTGAAGCCCCTTCTATCGATGTGTTGGTGAAGACGAGTCATCGTAGTCACTGAAGATGATGTTGGCAAAGCCCCTCATTGAAAGGTCCAAATGGCTAGTGGGGGTGAATAGCCTATTAAAAATTCTACAACAACACTAAGCTAAGTGGTTAGATAAATATAATGCGAAGCAAGTGTTGCGCTAGCCTACTAAAAATGCAAGCCACCTATCCACAATTCTAGTTGCTACTATCGTAGAATCAACCAATTTATAAGAGCACAAGTACAATGGCAACCATCGGGGCAGTCGCACGGTCATACTTGAGCCCATATAAATCCGGTAGTCCATCGAGTGTCACGAAGGACCTCGAAT